CTGCTCAAGCAACCAACGGAACTGGATCTTCCGTTCGTCTCCTCTTGTTTGATTACCGCAAAGCCTTTGACTTGATTGATCACATCATCCTGGTTCACAAAATCCAGAAGCTTTCAATTCCTCTACCTATTCAAATTGGCCAAACACGCTGCGGAAGCTGATTAACTAATGGAATTTGAGTAATTAACGTTGTTTTATGAATAAATAATGATGTACAATGCATAAAACCCTAATTTACAGGTTGTAAATGCTCTTTCTGTGCTGATCGCCAAAACAGAGAAAGTGCAAGATAAAGAAATTATGACCAGAGAAGGGGGGGGGCAAGAAGGAGGGGGCTGAGTCAGGGTGTTGTTTACTCTTGTGTGTTGTAAAAACGCCCACCCTCCCACCCTTCTGTTTCCCATCCTTGTGGCTTTCTGCTGTGGATCCATTTCCGTGTTTGATTTGGAAACAATGGACCTTTCTTTTCCCCAATGCTTAATCAGTGATCCGTAGCAGGATGGCCATTTGGATATTTTACTATTATTAATTGGATTATCGACTTTCTTACATCTAGGGAACAACGAGTTAAACTCGCCAGGGATTGTTTCTCTAAATGGGGAAAGTTCCTTCCGGAGTTCCCCAAGGGACAAAACTAGGCCCATGGCTCTTTATACTCATGATAAACGATCTGAATTTAACTGATTTCCAAATGTGGAAATATATTGACGATACTACTGCGGCTGAAGTAATATCAAAAGACAGTCATAGTACGATTCAAACAGGAGTAAACCAGTTGGAAGACTGGACTGTGCAGAATAAACTCCAACTTCAAGTTCCAAAATGTAAAGAACTACTGTTTCAGTTTACGACAGTTAGAAGCCCTTTTCCCAATGTTGTGAATTCTCGAACTAGTTGATCATGCTAAAGTTTTGGGACTGACAATCAGTAACGACTTGAAATGGTCCAAACACGTTGCCGAAATGATCAAGAAGGACAACAAACGAAAATACTTCATTATACAGCTTAAAGGACATTGGCAACCAAAATTTTTATTACTTATATCTATTAGGTATACTTACGGAATATTTAATTTCATATTTTGGCCAGTTTGTCGCATTCAGTTGCAGAGAAAATTTGATTGAATTTGAGAAAATTTGAACAGTTGTCCGCCATTTTGAAAATAAGCATGTATGCTAATTTATGCCACAAAATACATTATCTGACGTCATTGGCTGGGTAAACACAACCTCATGACTATAAACAATACCGTGTATTACCACGCGTAGTGCATTTTGAGCCAAAACAAAAGGCAGAAAAGTTTTACCAAGTATGTAACTTGTTTGTAACACTATTTCTCATAGTATATAGGCTCTGTGTTAAATAAGTGCAGAAATTTGAGTGTAACAAGACAAATACTAATGCAATATTTTATGATCAATTACCTGTATTGTAAATTGCGCCATTTCTTGCTTTCCCAGTCGCTTGATATGTTTTTATCTGATAGTGTAGACTTCTCCTGTTTGATTGCGAAGAGTGTTGGTAGTATAACGGTCAAAACCACATATTTTTAGCTAATAGAATTCTCTCTTGTAGTTTTGGTGCTACCCAGCCAATGACGTCACAAAGTTCATTGACCTTCGAGATAATTTTTCAAAAATTTTTTCCAAGATGGTGGTGAAACTGGCTGAATCACAAAGTTTGCATGCATTTTACTTGCAGACTAAAATGTTCGAGAAGGAAATGATAATATTTTCATAGTTTGGTTGTCAAGTAGGATTGAAATAGCCAATAAAAATTTTCGTTGCCAATGTCCTTTAAATGCGCAAAAGTGCCCGCCAAAGATATAATTAACTTTTACTGCACGTGTGTAAGGCCTGTACTCGAGTACAGCTGTGAAGTTTTCCATTTTGCCCTGCCTATCCTCCTCTTAGTGACGCCATTGAGCAAGTCCAAAGAAAAGTCGCCTCAATAATTTTCCCAGGCTTGCCGTATCCAGAGCGTTTGCAAAAATGCAACCTTATTCCCCTCAATGATCGGCGATACAAGGCCTACTCAAAACTATTCAATCAACTCATCAACAATCCACATCATAAATTATCATCCCTTCTGCCAGATCGTTACTCTGCGAAGTACGATTTCAGAAAAACTCGAGAGTTTCATCTTCCAAAGATAAAAACAGATAGATTTTTAAAAACATTTATACCGGGCGTGCATCAAAGAATTTTCTTAGATACTCAATTTTATAACCTTTCAACATAAATTTTCATAAACCTATTTATAAATACTTATAGTATATATTTTATTAACTTTATATTTAAAATGTTCCTGTAAATTATAGCTCTATAGAACTTAACCTCTGTTGTAAAATAACATGCAATTCGGTCATTGTAGACTGCAATGTGTTTCTTTTTAATAAACCTATCTACCATCTACCAAACCTATCTAACATATCCAGGATATCAGCCATTCTACACTGGTAAAAATACTACAGGAGCTGCAGATATTATTGGTGAAGACTCCTATGATGTACATAAGTTTACAAACTTAAATTAAATTTATGAATTTTTTGGTTTTATCCATAAAGTAAACATTTTTTATGTTGGTTCATTGAGGATAACTGTTATTTTGCTGTGATGGACAGTTTGAAAGAAACAGGTTTTGTATTTTTCATATTTTTTACAGTTTTATGTTCAGTTAACATTGTGAATGTTATCATGACCACCTAATGACAGGTACATATGGATATACAGAGGTACTGATGTTAAGACAATATTTTGGCCCAATGATGTAACATTACCTGGTCATATATCATGTTAGAAGGTCATGCTATAGTGTGTTGTGTTATAACTATTAACATTGTCTGGGGTCAACATATTCACATATTTAATATGTCAATCAATTTCATCTGGCTCCTTACACCCTTATTTTATATTTAATACTTCCATTTCCTCCAAACATTCAACTCTGAATTGAACTTGGAAACTAATGACAATTTCCAACTTAGCCAATTAGAGAACCTGGCTATAGCTAATCATTTTAAGGTGTATTTGTCAGAAACGAAATTGACTGATAAAAACTGTTTATGATGTAACAAATATATATCCATTGAAAACTAACAACAATATGTAGTCCATGTTTTTGAATGTTTATCTTCACTGTGTTAAATGATCTGGAAGGCAGGTCATTAGAACATGCGCCCGGACTAAGTGTGTAATTTTCGCTAGCAATGTGATATGGGATGAGTCAATGCTTCATTTGCTATGATTGGCTAATGACTCTGCCGTTTCCGTGGCAACAGAAGTAGTTTCCTGTTTCACATACGCTTGTCATCGCGAACATTTTGCCCTTCGGGCAAATGAACTCTCGTGATTATTCAACTAAATTGACTGCAGGTATTTGCGTGAGGCGACTTACCTAAACATTTTGCCATTGGCTTAAACTCACTGTTGTTATTATTATTTCACTAAATGGTCAAAGGGCCGTATTTCCGTGAGACGCATTTTGCCCTTCACTGTAACTGACTGTTGTTATTATTATGAAAATGAAAGGGCCGTATTTGCGTGAGACGACACATTTTGCCCATCGCTCAAACTAACTGTTGCTATTGGGATTATTGAACTAAACTATCACAAGGCCGTATTTGCGTGACACAGTCATGCCCTTTGCTCAAACTAACTCTTGTTATTATTGTCATTTCAGAACCATCCTCAGAGATAGGAAAACTAGTTTCATATTAATCTGACACTGCAATCGAGCAACGAAAAATTTGTTGGCTCGAGCGGGATTTGAACTCGCATCTTCGGGTATCTAGACCGCCGCTCTACCTATTGAGCTATCGAGTCAACAGGGATTGGTAGCGAGTCTTATCCAATTTAAGTGCACGAAATATTTTCGTGACGACTTAACGCTTGTCTTGGAGGACGCGCAGTGTTTCAATTCTATTTCAGAACCATCCTCAGAGATAGGAAAACTAGTTTCATATTATTTAATCTGACACTGCAATCGAGCAACGAAAAATTCGTTGGCTCGAGCGGGATTTGAACTCGCATCTTCGGGTATCTAGACCGCCGCTCTACCTATTGAGCTATCGAGTCAACAGGGATTGGTAGCGAGTCTTATCCAATTTAAGTACACGAAATATTTTCGTGACGACTTAACGCTTGTCTTTGAGGACGCGCAGTGTTTCAATTCTATTTCAGAACCATCCTCAGAGATAGGAAAACTAGTTTCATATTAATCTGACACTGCAATCGAGCAACGAAAAATTCGTTGGCTCGAGCGGGATTTGAACTCGCATCTTCGGGTATCTAGATCGCCGCTCTACCTATTGAGCTATCGAGTCAACAGGGATTGGTAGCGAGTCTTATCCAATTTAAGTGCACGAAATATTTTCGTGACGACTTAACGCTTGTCTTTGAGGACGCGCAGTGTTTCAATTCTATTTCAGAACCATCCTCAGAGATAGGAAAACTAGTTTCATATTAATCTATTTAAAATAGTTTCATATTTCATATTATATAAAATAATATAAAATAGTTTCATATTTCATATTAATCTAGAAATTAATATTAATATGAAACTAGTTTTCCTATCTCTGAGGATGGTTCTGAAATAGAATTGAAACACTGCGCGTCCTCAAAGACAAGCGTTAAGTCGTCACGAAAATATTTCGTGCACTTAAATTGGATAAGACTCGCTACCAATCCCTGTTGACTCGATAGCTCAATAGGTAGAGCGGCGGTCTAGATACCCGAAGATGCGAGTTCAAATCCCGCTCGAGCCAACGAATTTTTCGTTGCTCGATTGCAGTGTCAGATTAATATGAAACTAGTTATGAGTCTGATACCTTCATTAAGTAACCTTTTTACAAAATGATAACAACAAATAACTCCAGACCAACAACCTTCAACAAGCAGCGCGAAAACAATTTGTTTACACGCTGCGAGATGCTTACGTATGTAGATGGTCAAAATGATAGCAGTTACCTGCGCAGAAAGCTGACGAAAAGCTACTACAATCCCAGAAAAACCTACCATTATTTACATTCCCGTTAAAAGGCGACAGCTCCAAAGACCATCGGTTTGTTCTGTAAGTGCCTCTAAATGACGTCACAACACCAAACCTTTTGTGGATTTGTCTAGCAAATAATAGCAATATTGCAAGTTTACTAATTTTTTATCATAAAATATTACGAGTTTTGTCCAAGATTGCAGCAATTTAAGGTGGCTCCCTACAGTTATTCTTGTTTAAGCAATAATTCCGTAAAACAGGCTTATTCGTGCAGAACGCGAATTGTTTTCGACTTGGTGGCAATATTGGTCACCTAAGGAATATTTCGAACTACATTTCGACAATGTCAATGTTCCCATGGCAACATGACGACAGCATAAAGGCTTCCAATTTAACCCATAAATGTGCCGCTATCTCAAAAACGATGTCGGTGACCTATCTTTTTTATTTCAGATATCAATAAGGAATGATGCTCTGCAACTGTGGTGAAAGTTTAAAAAAATTCTGTAGTGTGTGATTTTTTTAAAAGCGAAAATATTTATTGCGAAATTTCCACACTACAGATTTTTTTAAAATTTGAAATTTATAAAATTTACCGCAAAATAAATTCGTGGTCAAAATTTGAAGATAGGTCACCGATGAAACTAATGAGTAAAATGCAAATAAAGTTAGAAAATAACCTCGTGTAACTCGAGAAATTCCCCTATTGAAAAGCGTCGCTGACTAGTAAAAGATTGTACGCGGACGCAGAACGAGTTTTCATTCAGCAAAATCGAGCCGCAATGTTGTTTTTACTGTTTTGTTTTTGTCAACTTTTCGATTTATTTGAGTGCTATGGACAGCCAAGGATTATTGTGAAGGATTAAATCGATGAAAACAAGGTTGAAGCTAATTGAATCCTGCCGTTTACTCAATCTATGAGCTGTAACAGCCTATTAACAGGTGGACGTGTTTTTTTGTTTCATGTTTGGTTTTGTACTTTTTGCTAAAGATAAACAATTAGGCTATGAAACTGAAATATTTTTCTGCTTACATATAATCACTTTAATCTTGTAGAAACACGACTAAAAACATGAACGTTTTCTTGAGAAGTAAACAACTTTTTAAACGCTTGTATGCAATTTTGCAAATGTTTGAGTCAGTTGACAGTGTATAAAAAAATTAAAAAATATTGTTTCGTAGCTATTTTTTGGTCTAGTGATATTCGTATCATATGTAGAATTGCTGTATAGACATGCAAGTGATTTGGCACTCAAAACGAAGTATTATTCAACGCTTTTTTCCATTAGAAACCTTTCAGAAATAGCTTTATTTTTAAAAAAAGCATGGTCAATTTTTGTTTTGTTTTGATCATGCAGTTGCGTGGGATAGTTCACGTACTTGTCCCGCAAACATCTCGCACGGAACTGTAGGGAGCCTCCTTAACCTCAATTGATCTCCAAATGTGAGTGTTTACTTACTTCAGAGTCTTAACTGTGTCCCCTCCACCCGAATCACTTCCATATCCGAAAGACCACTCTGAATTTCTCGTTCCAATTCGTTCAATATTTTTCACGCGAATTATGCCACCACTAACGGAACTTTCTAGTATATAATAAGACACCTACACAACAGAACATGAACAATTTAAGAATTACAAATAAGAGAATTTATATATCGACAAAGTTATAACTAACAAACGCTTAAACATAATTCTGACAAATCGTTTTATTAATTTTATTATACAGTAAATATGTAAATAAATTTATTAATATTCAAAAAATATTCATTAATATATGTATTAAGAATTATAAATAAAAATATTAACAAAGATAAAAAATATACATTGCGAATAGAGAATATGAGGATTTGAAGCTTGACAAAATGATAAATAATACACTTAGACATTTTAACATATAATTCTTAGCGACTAACAATTACGAAGGTACAACTTCATTGAACATCAAGCGCTTAATATGTACAAAACCCGAAGCAAGAAAGATTATGGGTTTTCTATTCGTATATGATAACACTTAGGTGGGGTACGTGGTGATTTCTTTTTATGTACATACTTTCAAAGCCTATGTTTGTATTTATAACAATCAACAAACGCGAGATCATAGCAGAAGGTCCTACTCCTAGTGTATATGATTTGTCCGCCAAACGTTTTGAACTCATGAGTCATGCCTGAGCGCAAACTATCATACATGTTTACTGTATTTTTTACTAACCAGGATAACTTTACTGATGGTAATGTTAGATGGTATATTAAGAATCCAGTTCACTGCTTCGTAGCTAACGAGCACAAGAACAATAGGTCTGTTGGATTTTCCACGACTGATGAAATTGACCCTAGCATTACCAGCCCTTGGAGGACGCCTGTTGATAACTTCGTACACACTCAATACGTGAACCTCGTACAGAGGTGAACTGTAATCAGGAGTACAAGTGTAGGTGGTATCAGAATTTGAAACAATTTTACATCCATAGGCATCAGCTAGGGCAAGAAAAAGACTGTGCTATATTAAAATGCTTTATGAATAATTACCCGAAATTTGGTGAAATAAAATAACTTGACTAATTATCTACTTAGATTAATGATCATGGAAGATCTGAACATAAAATTGCCAAGTCCATCAGACATCCTCTACGGGCTTTGTGAGATTCTGCAAGAACTGGCATCTTGCCACGACCTTGACATGTTCTTGTCATGTTTTAGTCATTTTTGTGTCACGTTCCCGTCTCGTTCGTGTCACGTTCTCGTCACGTTTTTGTCACGTTCTTGTCATGTTCTTGGCATGTTCTTGGCATGTTCTTCTTGTCATTTTCTTTTGATGTTTTTGTTATATGCTTGTCATGTTAAGTTCTTGTCAAGATCTTGCCATGTTCTTACCATGTTCTCATCAAGATCCAGATATGGTAATAACATGGCAAGATCTTGTAGGATCTTTGAAAGATCTTGCAATAACTTTGCACGATTTCACAACCTTTCCCAAGATATAACAGAATGGACATTACAAGATTTAGACACGATGCTCAAGCTAAGTAACCACAATTACTTCAAATTAAAACCAACAACTAAACAACTTACGCAAACAGGTATCGTAATCGTAGTGTGTGCCACTGCAGTAACAGTATCCGTCTTTGCAGAAAGCTTTCATGCCTCCCCAGCTAGAACAATAGCTGCCCAAGCATTTCGTCCTTCGGATTTTTGGTGAAGCCGTGGGGAGGATAGCTGTGGTTGTTCTGGTTCCTGGAAAAACATGCATTATACAAAAATAGTGCGTTTGATGGATGAGAACGCTTGGTAATCGAATCATTGCGAAATTGTACCACATCGGTTTAAGAAAATGCAAGTCGTGCTCATGCTAATCTGCATTCATGATCTTACATGGTTGTCTTGCCCACCCGAGCGTATGATTCAATGCCATGAGAATTTGATATTTTTTACATTGGTTGACTCGGTTTCTGTTAATTTTTGTTTAAATGACACTCAATGAAATAGTTTTGCCGCCATGAATTTGGTCTTTGTCGACGCGAAAAGGTAGCAAATTTACGAAGGCAACTAAATTTTGTCGGGAAACATACTCATGCACCACTGCTGAAGGTTAATTCCACAATGAACACTCATTTGTTTATTCAAATGACCAATGAAATTTTCGGCACTCTTTCGATTGTTTTCGCAGTCGTATTTCATTTTTATTTTCTTGAAGCTTTGAAACTGATCCTTTGTCATTTAACTTGACGTGACGTGGCTTCTTTTCCATAGCAAAATTTAAAGTTCATCAAGATGCACAACGTTCAAGCGGTATAGACAATAATCAATATTATTTTTGAGCCTCATTTATTGAGCCTATTACTCCGATCCAGAATGAATTTCAAATCATAAAGTGCTTATATTTCACTGTTTTTTATTCTAATTTCCCTTTCTTTACAAGAACTTACTAAATCCTCATCACTGAAATAGTTTCGAAAAAAAACAACAACTAACAACAGATTACAAGGCGAGAAAAAAATTCTGCCAGAGTCCCGCGAGGAAACACACACCTTGCATATTTTTTTGTATTATATGGATATGAGTAAAATACCGTAAAATGCGCCACTGATCGATATTTCCCGTATTTCAGTATAGTGAAATATGAAATCATATCTTACGCGGGAACGTCTCGCGCCGGACCCACGCTAATTCCCGCAATTTTGCCGTTTCTGTTTTGAATATACAATATGGCAACTTCTCGACATTTTGTTGATGTTTCCGATGCTGATTTGGCAAGGTGTTCTGAAGACTAGGGATCCAAGGATAGTGTAGAGTTTCAAAGATGGATGCTATAAGACATGCTTATAAATTGAATAGCTTTGCAAGCGTGGTTTATAGCCTTAATCACATGTTGCAGTAGCTGGCGGAACTGTTACAACAGTAAAAAGGCTAAGATCTGGTTTAAGAATAACGAGAGTTACGTAATATTATTTATTTCCTCATATAATATTATAGTGACAAGGCGTAATTTCTGTTATTTTGTAAAGTTTGAAATTGAAAGACACTGCAATAATTATATAGGATCGCCGACAAACCTAGAAAAGCTGATAGGTTACACCACGAAATAAACAGTTACAATAGGCATTTTACTCATCTATTGTTTTTTATCGGCACACGAATAACCCCACGTTTGAAACATGCCTAACACGTCAGGAATGGAACTGACACAATTTATGTTGTGGTAAGTATCCCCACAAGGCTACTGATATGCTAAACTTATTTAAGTCTATGATTATTGCCAATGCCATTTTAGCGCCCATATTGCGTAAATTTGACTGTTGTCCCAGTCACAACTTTAATTGAAATAGCTGTATAAGATCTGTTCTGAATAATAAGCACTACAACGTTGCATTCCATTAAAAACCCCCATAAATCTAAAACACGGAAACGTAAAAAAGAGGCGATCTCAAACTAATATCGATACTTAATTGAATGCCCGTAATGCATAACATCGATTTATACATTGCGTAGAGTCTCAAAGATTTTCCTCAATATATTAATACACATCTGAAATGTTTGTACATTTCAAAACAACACTTGTCTCGCTGCCTCCTAGCTTTGTATAACGAATATACCGTCAAAATACTATCGGTATTTAATTGAATGCCCGTAATGCATAACATCAATCTATATATTGCGTAGATTCTCAAAGATTTACTCAATATTCACATCTAAAATGTTTATAATTTGAAAACAAAACTGTGTCGCTCCAGCGCTCGTTCTTAGCATCGTCTCGCCATTAGCCTGCGTAGCGGCTATCAGAGAAAGTAGAGCCTGTATGAAACCCCTTGCTTTGCCGTATTTACTCGTTCTCTCAGAGGACGAGAAATCTGATTGGTTCAAAATGAAAAAAATATGCTAATTTATGCTAAATTCATACAAACACGGCAGATTAGCGGATGTATTATTGAGAGGCGTTTCTTTGAGTTTTGCATTCAAAAAAAGCTTAAAAGACATTGGCAACGAAAATTTTTATTGGCTATTTCAATCCTACTTGACAACAGAACTATGAAAATATTATCATTTCCGTCTTGAACATTTTAGTCTACGAGTAAAATGCATGCAAACTTTGTGTTTCGGCCAGTTTCGCCGCCATCTTGGAAAATATTTTTGAAAAATTATCTCGAAGGTCAATGAACTTTGTGACGTCATTGGCAGGGTAGCACCAAAACTACAAGAGAGAATTCTATTGCGTGCGTGTTATGTTAGCTAAAAATATGTCGTTTTGAGCGTTATACTGGCCAACACTCTTCGCAATCAAACAAGAGAAGTCTACACTATCAGATAAAAACATATCGAGCGACTGGGAAAACAAGAAATGGCGCAATTTACAATACAGGTAATTGATCATAAAATATTGCATTAGTATTTGCCTTGTTACACTCGAATTTCTGCGCTTATTTAACACGGAGCAGGATATATACTATCAGAAATATTGTTACAAACAAGTTACATACTTGGTAAAACTTTTTTGCCTTTTGTTTTGGCTCAAAATGCACTACGCGTGGCAATACACGGTATTGTTTATAGTCATGAGATTGTGTTTACCCAGCCAGTGACGTCAGATAATGTATTTTGTGGCATAAATTAGCATACGCGCTTATTTTCAAAATGGCGGACAACTGTTCAAATTTTCTCAAATTCAATCAAATTTTCTCAGCAACTAAACGCGACAAACCGGCCAAAATATGATATTAAATATTCCGTAAGTATACCTAATAGATATAAGTAATAAAAATTTTGGTTGCCAATGTCCTTTAATATTAAAGGCCACGATTTACAGTTGAACATTAAAGGTATTTACGAACTTGGTTCACGAAGCTCTAGAGATATTGACTGTGGTGTCTTCGTTGGATTGCTGTCTGTTAGCAGCGCCTCTTTCACAACTCACGAGCGTGTTCGTTTTCATATTAATAAAATTCATCGACGACAAATAGATCTTTTCTTCATGATTTTGTAGCTAATAATTCTGTGCCAGGAGAGAATTGCTATAAATGCTTATGTCTTATTAACAGGACTTGCTCTCTGTGAAGTGATTGCTTTAAACACCTTTAATATTCTCTTCTCAGCATCGCTAGAAACTTAACATTTAATACATCACGGTTGACCGCTGTCGAAACTATAAATTATATTTGTACGTGTGCGAGAAAGCTACGAATATCGTAGATATGGACTGCAAACTACTTGTGACAACGATGGAGATTGCCCCAGGGATGGATTTACTGGGGGATGCGCACCCCCCCCCCTAGCCATGGCCAAGGGGGTGCAGAGGGGGTGCTATTTTTCATGATAAAGCAAAAAATTATTAGAGACAAAATGAGATTCAGTAATTTGAGTAATAACATGATGATAAGCGAACTGTGAACAGCAATTACAATTCAAATACTGTAGTCAAGCAAGACTTTGCAGTAGTGGAACAAGTTGATAGACGGGTAAAGTCATGGGTAATTGCAACGTACTTGTTCGAAAAATTTTTTTGCCTAAAAAGTCGTTGACGGGGGGGGGGAGAGGTCATTGTTCTCCGAAAATTTTTCCGGAAATTCTTTTTAAATAGGGGTCCCTAAAAAATTTGCACCCCCCTTACCAGATCATGCTGGATCCATCCCTGGATTGCCCTAGGCCTAGCGCTATTCCCACAGACTTCTATTTTTTTTAGCCGCCATCCGTATATTACAGTATTTCGTTTTGAAATTTGCGAACATACAGCTATCTATTTTGATAAGTAAATTTGCAAACGTAAACATGTGATTGGCCAATTTTGACATCTGTTTAAAGTGGGCGTAGCCCGCAGGCTAAGTGGGCGGAAACGGGAAAGCAGGGGTTTTCGTGCAGGCTTTACTTTCTCTGAGAGCCGCTACGCAGGCTATCTCGCCATCGTGATCTACGGCTTGATAGCGCATGCGCATTTGCGTTCATAAAGAAAAAATGGGTTTCCGGGGGAAAGATCCTTCACACAACATGAGAAGCGAATGTTATAAAATTTACGAAAATTTACAATAACGATAACGATTTCTCGAAATTTTTGTGAATCTGGTAAAAGGGCAAAAGAATATTTAAATAAAACAACTGAAATTGCCTAAATGACCTTAAAAGCACAATAAATCACTACAAACATAAATCGTATACACATAATACACCCCCCGGAAAGTTAGCATTATGACTGACTGACTGATGTGAATTTTCCCACTCATCACAATAGTGCACAGTTTCAAAGAAACTCTGCACAAAAAATGAAAATGAAAACACAAAAAGGAAGATTATGTCCCATTTGGCGATCTTCAGCGACTATTTAGCCTCGATAAACGAGCGGAGAGACATAACATTGTTGCCGTACGGTGAGCTACAAAACATCTTGATGAAATTTATTTTGGCCATATAATAAAAAGAACATTTCATGGTGGCTTTGGAAATATGACTTTTATTTTGTCGTGTTGAAAACAATATTTTACTCACTTGCTGCGCTCGTTCGCAAAATATTGTTTTCACGATCACCACTCGAAAATAAAAGTCATATTTCTGTGCCACCGTGAAATATCCTCTATGTATCTCACTTACTAATAAAATATGGAAAATACGAGTGCATTAGTTTCTAATAAAACACCCATGTCCAGATAATAGGAGCCCCCCCTAACGACTATTTACTTACCATTATCTGCTGTGCCGTTGTAAGGTGACAATTTCAATGACCATTCATTTGCTTTGTAAGTGCCTGTAAATGACGTCACTACACCAAAGATTTTGTGGATTTGTCTGGCAAGAGAAATAATAAGAATGAAAATTTTGCAATCTCAGAAAAAACCTCGTATGAATAATAATTAACTAAAGAAATACATGCATGCAGTAACCCCTCGCCAATATTTTTCAAACATTAAATTAACATGAAGTATTTAGAAATAGCCCACTGAACGCAGGCTCGCGCTCAAGTGTTGCCATGACAACACGATATTCTTAAGTTTTTAATTTTTCATATTTTTTGTACAAAACTGCAAAATAGTTCAACGATTCGTACTTTTAACTATACAACAATAAATTTCCATATTATATTCTGTAGGTATATTATTTAGCATTTTGTAATGTAAAATTTAACTTGAAACGCTTCGTAAAATGTTTTGAAATCTTCATTCAACTATAGAGGCTATAGTTCATTTGCCAATAAACATGTTATCGAGACGATTTTGCCTTATGAACCATTGAACCTATAATATATGGGAATGCTAGTAAAGATAATTGTTATTGTTAATATATGTTATTGTTATTGTATTAGGCAAATGAGAACCATACAATAAATGTTTTATTTCTTGTTGGTATTTTAAACGCACGCTTTATTTCATGAATATTGCTATAAAACAAAGCAAAAAGAACGAACACGGAAAATTACTTGAGCGAATTTAAAGCTGAGTGAATACGTCTCAACAAGGTGCGCGAAATTAAATGGCCCGAATTTAAAGCTAGCGAAAATGAGTTATACGACGCGAATATACAAGTATTAAGGTCCATATGGTATCATATTTCATAGTAACGAACAATGTAAAATAGCCATACATTTCGCCGAACATAACTTTGGCCCCTTTGGACATATCTTTTTCGTAATAGTCTTATTCGAACCGGAATCCAAAACATTATTTAGAGTGTTATTTTCAAGTTTGTGTCTTCGCATTTTCACCTCTTATTTCGATACTTACAGAAATAAATAAATAAATAGTATTTATATTTTTCGCGCGGCCCGTCAAACGTTCTCAAAACAAAGCGCTGTTTACATCCTGGCCCTAAGGGTTTGGAAAAACCGGGAATCGATTCTACAAGTCAAAGTACTCCCAGTAATGCAGTGGCATGGTTCACACGTGCATCGGGCTACATATAGCCAAGCATACACTTGGCGCGTGCGTGCGAGTAAAACCCCGATATTTTGAAAAATTCAAAATAAATATTTCTATTCTGTGCCGTATTCAAACGAAACTTTCGGCATGAAAGCGCTTCAATAGAAGGAGTATTTTACTCACATTGACTCTAAGCAAATTCTGAAGAGTTAAGAAGATGTTCATGTGATTGATCTTAAATGATGAACGAGAAACAAATTTGTGCAGGAAACATAGGGGATATAACCTTCATGTGCAGGCTTGCCATGCCACCAATGATGAAACGTGGAAATGAGGCCATTGGGTTAAAAGTAAACTTCCCTTTAGAGAATTGCATGTCTAGAAGTATAAACGTTTACATTCAGTTCATGTGGCAAAAAGGCAGCACTTTCCTTGCGATAGAAACTCCTATAGTAAACTTGTGACACAAGAGGTAAATATCCGACGAATAGACCAAGATCCATTCGGACGATGCAAAGTGCGGAGCTCGCGATATATTTAATTATGTCCAAACTGTTAGTTGAGCTAAATAAATCCGCTGTAATTTCCAGGGAAACTTGTAGTTCCCGAAACGTTTAAAAGTTCGCCTTTTTACGGTTCTTAACTTCTTGTATGTCGCCATTAGGCCATCTTAATATCCGAAAACGACAAGTTTTAATACAAATTTGAGCTGTTTCGAGCAGCCATGTTTTTTGTTTGTTTTTAAAGACAAGATCCCAGGCTCACACGTAAAAACACAGGGATATTTTAGAATTTTTTGGGATATTTGCAATATTTTTAGTCTTGATAAAAATTTGCGGGGTTAATAATAATTAAAGGTCAAAATACCGGAAGTGATCAGAAAAACTGCAAAATATAGTTTAAAATCACAGTTTTTGGTTGAATAATACTTGAACTGGAGATACAAAGTAAAATGCGAAGTCGGTTTACTTATATTAGGCAATGTTGGGCATATAAAACGGACTTAACCGCTGACTACAAAAGCGGGAGCAAAATGTCCCATATTTCTGGTAATGGCGATGGAAAGCTTATTACTTTCTTAATGGCGATTGGCGAGCCTAAGACTAAAGAGTACGACACATTCGGACTGCCTTCAAAAACCTGTTCGCCTGTGGCGAGAAGAAACACTTTCATAACTCTCAAAGACTATAAAGAGAATTTCGACTCTAACCCCAAATGCCGCCAAATTAATCCATCGAAAAGCGAACTTGGAAAAGTTAGCAAGACAATACTCGATGACATTAACAACAAAATTAGATCAACCTTAAATTTGAATCAGTGGAAGAACACACAATCCGTAATCAGCTGGTTCCAAGCCATTAACAATAAACCTAATCAGACGTTCCTTTCCTACAATTTCCAAAATAATCCTTCAACACCCCTTCAATCCATACAACAACCTAAACACCCATATGTACTGTTCATCTTACTCACTCACTCACTCAATTTATACAGCTGCATACAGACGCTCTATATAAACGTTATAGTTATACCACATCCATTCGTGATTACAATCATGACCCAACATATTGGTTTGACAAAAAATATCAGCGAATTTGGTAAGACACTTTACACATTACATTTATTTCACAATAATCATGCACATATTTTGCTATTTTTATGTTTATTCACTCTGTAATCCAAATCGGTTTCTGTATTCTATCCTTCTTATACATGTGCCAACCCCAATCCCTGCTGACGGGTCCGTAAAGGACGAAACGCCGCGTACAGTGATACTGAATTTTACACACATGACTATCTCCTTCTCTCGCTTTATATTTTTTACATGCCTCCATACAAGCTTTTTAGTACAGCGCGATCATACTCATTGGGTCTGATCAATTTTTTTTACACCACAGGATATTTTCCGTTACAATTTCACACACGCATCTCCAATTTAAGTCTACACCTACACTTATATTTCTTAGGTTCACATTTATACATATAGAAGTGAGTTTTTTCTCAGTTTTATCAAATACAACATTTTTTCACAAGCATACGTTGTGCAAACAACACCAGGCCATCACACTATCATATTTCACACTACATTTCTTATCTAACATTTAGGGACTATTGTGGCATAAATTTATTACTCGGACACCAATATGCATATGGTTCTCATTACCTATATCTAAACTTAGACTAGAAAATACATGCATGCAGAAACCCTCGCCTTGCTGACAAAACCATTGTATTTTCCGAACACGAAGTTCTAAAATAGTTGTCATGGTAACACGATAATTCTTTAAGAATATTCTTACAAATGAAAAATCGCCTAAAAATATCACTTTTAATTACAAAATTATTAATTTCCCAACATATATATGTTAGGTATGTTATTATACGTAATATAAGCCTCAATATAAGGTAAAATTCAACCACAAATGCTTCGCAAAACGTTTTAAAGTGCTGTTTAACTAAACTGCCTTTAATTAAATGGCTTTATCGATAAACTTTGAGTTTGCAATAAAATGATTTCAAATTCTCGCTTGCAAATAACTTTGCTTTCTTTTTCATTTAAAAAATTCAATATAATAAAAAAGTGAATCAATATTAAAGATACACTGAGCGAAATTATATTCTGTCTTGTTTAGTTGTTTCATATACGCAAACGCCGTCGGGTTTTAAAGCCATTATAAAATCAATATTTAAAACAAACTTATATTAAGTTCTTTGAATGTTTGCATGGCGATAAAATATAATTGTTTTTGTTTGTGGAAACACCACGTAAATTTATTACTGCAGTATTCATGACAGTTCGCCATATTTTTGAGGTCAGTGAGGATGACCACCCACCCAACACCGTTGGTGACCCACGCCCGCGATATTTGATGAACTTTAGACTCCGCTAAACAGGATGGACTTCCGTCTACGCATGCGCGAGAAACGTAAGCGTGGAGTGCACGTGAGCGCGGGTTAATCGCGTGACTGAATTATAAAAACAAGCATCAAATTTGCAAAAACTACTCGTGTTATGAAGTCGCTTTCTTGTTTCTTTAGTGTTTCAACGCTCACAATTTTAGGCATTTCCAACTTAGAAGTGTTTGCTTTGGAATAAGAACATGAAAGTAGAAATAAAAACATTGTTGCTGCAGTTTAATTTCGCAGTGCAAATATACCTGTTTTTAATTAATATGTATATCCTTTTCGAAGTGAGATATACAAGTGCAAATAGACCTTCTTTAAATTCGTATTTGCCCTATTTTTCACTCCATAAAAACTACTTTTATCGAAGGAAAACTATTTGACTCTAAAAATAAGCTTGAATTTTTGTGGTGATATAGGCTCATTTCTTTGCAAACAGTGATTTAGTACTCGGTAGTGTAGTTGTTGTTTATGAACAAAAGTCTAAAATGAATTCAACATCCGTCAACAAAAAGGAGTCGCGCTTATTACTACTCTGTAGAGGATAGACAATTAATTTAACTCACTAGGAACCCGTTCTACAATATAAACTAGAAATCGGCCAACAAATTGCCACGAAATACTACAATGAAAATAGGGTCTCTGAACTACCAATTTCACCAAACGGTCAAGTTTCTCTGCAAAGATCGCCCCTTTGCCCAATTTTCCTCGAGTAGATCATCGTGTTTTTAAGTCAAGGATTATGTATACTTTAACATAAAAGAATAAAAAAGTGGTGATAAAGGGTAGATTTTGAATAAAATACGAATATCTGTATACAAGATCTGAACGTTATTATGAAGCACTCGATACTTTTTCCAACAACATATTGCGATTAATTTTTTACAAAATTAAAAATATTCACACATTAAAGATATGAAAATGTAGCTTGCATTACAAAGAAATGTTGGCTTACCTAAGTTATACCTTACACGTCGATTAAAGTCAAGTAAAGCCCTTTCAAAGACGCGTGTCACATTAAACTACAGGTCACATGGCGGTAGAGAACTCGACGAAGTATTCAGGATATTTCATAGCCAGTTTAAACCCTGCTGTGCACTATTCCTGTGAATTATGATGCCCAACACAACGGGTAACAAAATTTACCACTTTGTTCGGCTGTTGCAAGTACACTTTTAAGATACAAGGTCCGATTATATCATGTTCTTCGAAGCATCTGCTCAAAACAGTCCAACATAAATGTCGCCACTCATCTTCTTCGTATGAAAATATAAGTGTTCCTTTCAATTGCTTTGCTTTAAAAACAGTCATTAGGTTGTTGAAGAGTTAGCCTGCAAGTTCCAACGAAAAAACCCCTGATGCTTTCAAAAACCAGCGAATCACAATGCTGTGAACTTCAACATCCTTAGAAATTGTAAGCAAAACATCGAAAAGCAAAATTTGCTGAAAAAGCTCACGACCCCGCACTATCTGCGCTAATGCTTTCGTTTCTTCGGGTGTAAATAGCCGAGGGGAATTAGTACCATCGCACCGTTTCGCGCCGTCGGCTCGGGGGAAACTCGTAGTCAAATCTAAAGCTTCCTATTTCATGGGCCCAAACATCAACTGACATTACGTGACAGCGCATTTTATTATTAAGCACGCAAGTAAATCCTTACTTTTTTATATATGACGAAAAAACGTGGGTAAAAAGAAACAACCAATCTCTATTCAACGTGACAATGTGAAGTTATGATGGGGCCGCGATATGTGAGCTTGTCGGACTATTCATTTCACGCCTGACAAAAATGTATGCCAAAGCGCTAACGTGCTTCAAATTCTTTAATTTTCATCCTATTTCTACAAAATTTCGCACAGACATAGAATACGTCATTTTTACAAATCGTATGTTTTTTGTTTTTCGAGTGGCTACATTTTTGGCGGGAAAATGACGTCACAAACTTGCTGCTAAAAAAATAACAGTTAGCTATTGCTAATTTTATGCACTTATTCGGTAGCCGACATTGAGCGAGTCAGAAAACTGAACTCCCTTTCTAAATACAATTATTTCTCGCGAAGATATATCGGTACAAATGTCGAAAAATCGGCCATTTTTTTGCTAAAAATAGAAGAAAATGGCCCATATTTAGAAATTTGAATAATGGTATCTTCGCAAGGAATGGTTGTATTTCGAAACAGACTTCAGTTTTAAGACTCTCTCAATGTCAGCTACCGAATAAGTGCATAAAATTAACAATAGCTAACTGTTTTTTAGCGGCAAGTTTGTGACGTAATTTTCCCGCAAAAAATGTAGCAATTCAAAAAACAAAAAACATACGATTTCTAAGAATGACATGTTCTATCTCTATGCGAAATTTTGTAGAAACAGGATGAAAATTAAATAAATTGAAGCACGTTAGCGCTTTGGCATGCATTTTTGTCAGGCGTGTTTTGAATAAGCTTTCAGAGAAATTTGGAAAGAACAATATTGGACCATATCGAGATGATGGCTTAATGTTTATTTAAACGTATATATTTATTAATAATGACGTTTGCCCAAGAGCTGTGAAGCTCATCGAGGCGTTTACGTCATATAACATTTACATATTTTTTAAAAAAAAAGAACAAGAAAGGAGTAAATGGAAATTACGATGAGAAGCTGGAACAACTGAAAGATTTCCACTAACTTTGCCGAAAAAAGATTGGCAGGCAAAGCTCGAAATCTCTACATTGCATATTTCACAAACTTGGTTTTAAGATTACTGCCGAAGTTAACCAAATCGTCAATTACTTGGACGTAACCTTTAATTTGCAAACAGAAAGATATTCAGCTTACAGAAAACCGATTAACGACCCTCTCTACATATTCAAATCACCTCCCTTCTATCATCAAGCATATGCCAATATCCATAAACAAAAGACATCCAGCTTATCCTCTGATCAATCATCTTTTGATTCATCAGCACCGTACATTGTACGAAGACGCATTTCACCGCAGCAATTACACCGTCAAACTCCAATACTCAACCAATAGTACCGGCGACACCCCAACAACAAACAGGAAAAAACAGCAAAGAAAGGTGATATTGTTCAATCCACCCTTCAGTAAGAACGTGAAAACCAACGTGCACTTCCCACACTCAACTCAACTCAACTCAACTCCATAAAATCATTAACCGGAACACCATGAAAGTGAGTTATTCCTGCATGACCAACACTATATCCAACCACAATCGACACCTACTGGTAAGCAAGGGTGGGTTGTAGCGAAGTAGTTGTAGTTCGCTACTGTAGCGAGCTACAATTTTCAAGTAGCCAGTAGTTTTTGACTACTTTTTTAAGACAGTAGTTATAGTTATAGCGAACTACATTTTGCCTAAAAGTAGCCAAGTAGTTGACTACTTTTCAAACAGCGAATCGCTATTCGCTACTTTTTAAAATTGTTAGCAACTTGATAGAATAGCATGATATTGGGACACGGTTTGTTTAAAATCAATACTCAATTGCACTCCTGAACACTGTAGTGCTTACAAAAACGTTGCTTAGTGTTTACTGTTGTGACTCGTAAGTCGATTTGTTATAGATTACATTACTGCCTGAGTTAGTAGGTGCTCCAAATACAGTAAAACTAAAAAATATAGTGTAGCGAAATAGTTGGCTACAATTTTTAAGCAGTAGCTGTAGTCAGTAGCGAACTACCTTTGTCCAAAAGTAGCAGTAGTTGTAGCTGACTACATATTTTTGAAGTAGCTGTAGTTATAGCGAACTACAAAAATTTTGTAGTCAACCCACCCTTGCTGGTAAGAAAGAACAAATCATTTGATGTCTGTAATTGCCGCACCAAAGACAGATGCCCGCTCGATGGTAATTGTCTTACGAAAAGCATCGTTTATAAAACTGAGATTACAACAACAGACGTCGGTGAAACGAAAGAGTATATTGGTAGTTTATAACGCATCTGAAACAACTGATCATCTGAGCAACTTTAACACACTCACCGAAGAAGATGTTCGAACGCTTGTTAAAGAGTGTGGAAAAAAAGAACTCTGCTGTCGACCCCATACCAACCTCACTGGTGATCGACTTAATCGATGTGTTATTACCGACTATCACCAAGATAATTAATCTGTCATTGGACTCCGGGACGTTTCCTGACGTCTGGAAATGCGCTCTTGTGCACCCATTCTTAAAAATTGTCGGAGTAGATCCACTTTTCGTGAATTGTAGACCTATAAGCAACCTACAGCACATCTCCAAATTAACTGAGAAAGTTGTATTTAGTCAGATCCGTTCGCACATGATTGCCCACTCTTTATATCCTGAGCTACAATGATTTTATCGTCGATATCACAGCACTGAAACCGCACTGCTCAAAGTTACAAACGATATCCTGCTAAAAATGAACTCGCGAGAAGTTACTTTACCGGTTACACTTGATCTAAGTTCCGCGTTTGACACTGTCAATCACGAAATATTGCTTCGCCGTCTCCAAAATGAGTTTGGAATTCACAGAAAAGTCTTGGGTTGGTTCATGTCATACCTGCACAACAGAGGTCAGCAAATCTCTATCGAAGGTATACTATCCCAACGTTTCGATTTGGACTCAGGAGTTCCACAAGGGTCGTGCTTGGGTCACCTTAGCTTCTTATTATTATATATACATCCAGGCTGTTTAATTAAAACAACTGACGATCAGCTTCCTGACTCACATGGTTATGCCGACGACGCACAGCCCTACCTCAATTTCAAGCCACGTTTAAGTGCGTCACAGGAAGACGCTTTATGTGCGATGGAATCTTGTATCGAAAAGATAAGACGCTGGATGATCCAGGATAAACTCCTGATGAAGGATGGCAAATCTGAATTCTTGGTCATTGGTACTCGTCATCAATTATGTAAACTTCAGCCTATCAGCTTTTTTGTTAATAATTCTGTGATTTCTCCTAGCTCGCATATTAAGAACCTTGGCAGCTGGTTGGACTCGAACTTAAACATGACGACTCATATCACAAAAGTATGTAAAGCCTGCTTCTTTCACCTGCATATTATCAGACGAATTAAGGAATATCTAATCCTAGTACATGCTTTCATCACCAGCAGGCTCGAATACTGTAATAGCTTCTTTTACGGTCTCCCTGGAAAGTAAATATCTAAACTACAGCGTGTTCAGGATGCCGCTGCAAGATTAGTAATGGACGTTCCGAAATATTCTCATATTACGCGCGTACTGTATGAATTACATTGGCTTCGGTACATGCAAGAATACAATCCAAGGTGTTACTATTTGCTTTTAAAGCTATACACGATCTAGCACCATCTTATATTAATTAAGGATCTCATAAATGTTAAATCGAAGTCGTCCTTCAACTTAAGATCTAACAGTGGCACTCTACTGGAATGTTCAGCAGGCAGGATGCTTACTACCTTGAGTGCTCGATCCTTTCACGCGGCTGCACCTCATCTTTGAAATAGTCTTCCTCTTGGTATACGTTCACTTACATCTATTGACTTGTTCAAGAAATTACAACCATAACCACAAGAAATCCATCAACTCACCTCGCTATTCAAACGAAACTGAACTTTCTAAGTACGCATGGAAGCTAAAACAAAGTACCGACCGTATACTATAAAGTGGTCGGTTTTGTCGCATGCTTCACCCTATACGATAGGTGAAAATTCTTGCAATCTTTGCTTAGAGGAGAAGTTTTATTTAATGAAATCGCACGAAGATAGAATGTTGAACAAACGAACAGAACTATTTTCAAATTGCCGCCACAGAAACTCATTTAGCGCGCGGAATTTTAAACGCACGCGCGCATGATGCAATCGTGTCAGCGGACCGTTGAATAATTGCGCAAGCAAACTACTTTGAGTAGAATCGCCTGAAGATAGCTTCGAAAGCATGAAACAGTGTGTAGCGATTAATAAAATTTTAAAATTTTCAGATTAAAAATAACAATATATTTTGGTTTATCAATTAAACTTGTAATAACAATTTTCGTGAAATTTTATGAAAGTGAAATTTTTTTTGAATTTCGATCATATCTCCCCGAGGACACAAAATAGGAAAGTATAGCAGAAGTGTAACTTGAGTCGGTGCCTTTGTCGTTTTACGTCCACGCCATCCTAGCTAGTGCAGCTGGAAGTTTTTATCAGGTTTTGGTAGGTACAAAGTGCCGGTTGTACTAGCTAGGATTGATGACGAATCACTTGTAAAAACGCGGACAAATACTTGTTTGAGTGAGACTTCTGTATACCTTCCTATTCTGTGCCGGGGAACTGCATATATATATATATATATATATATATATATATATATATATATATATATATATATATATATATATATATATATATATATATATATATATATATATATATATATAGCTTAAGATTTTGGTTTACGAAACACAAAAAGTGCTCAATACCTTATAGATAGAGCGTAATATAGTTTTTCGTTTTACCTCAAAAAACCACAACAGTCTGTTTCATCCATCAGGTGGTCCACCACCTGATGATTCCTATACGGATGAAACAGACTGTTGTGGTTTTTTGAGGTAAAACGAAAATATATATATATATATATATATATATATATATATATATATATATATATATATATACATAAATAACATCCCTATTCAGCTGTTTACTTACTTCAGAGTCTTAACTGTTCCCCCTCCACCCAAGTCACTTCCATATCCGGTAGACCACTCTGAATTTATCGTTCCAATTCGTTCAATATTTTTCACTCGACTCACGTCTCCACTAACAGAACTTTCTAGTATATAATGAGACACCTATATAACATAACATATATGAACAATTTAGTCCATTCCTACTGTACTCACTTATTTGTTTGGCAATGAGCAATCAAGTAAATCAATTCCAACATTTACGTAAATTTAATTCTGCACGTGAACAGTCTGCAGCTGACTTCGATGTCGTTCGAATCCTGCGATTACCTTAGTTAACAGTATGTTAACAGTATCACCTCAGAAATATTTTTCTCTGCATTTCACTCGAGTTTTTTAATAATAGTTCATGGCGGGGCTCATTATCACGATCGATAGATTTCAACTTGATTTTAGCTCGTTCAACATCTGTTTTGACAATTTGACCGGTCGTCACAAATTAATACCCATACATGCACACCTACAGTGAAAAAAGTTTAATTTGAAATACATCTTCAATTGTTTTATAATGTTTTAAACCCTCAAGACACTGGCAATTACTGTATATAAAAGTGAACAGTTAACGTTGTCGTGATTAGTACAGTCGCTTTTAAAAAAAATCCTGGTAAGCAGTCTAAATGGAAGAAAATCGAAACATTTTAAGTTCAACCAGGATATTACTTGCTTTTTCTACAAAAAACAACGACATGGTGTTGACGTACATAACATGACGTCTTACTGTGAAATTCCGTACTCGCGATGAAATTAAAATGTAGCGGAACCTCTCATAAAAGAAGTTATGAAAGAAGTTATGAAGTTATAATGTAGTGGAACCTCTCGAAAACGTGTCCGATCAAAACGGCTGGTGAGGTGAAAAGTGACCTATCAAGAGGCAATTTTGGCCGGTCGTTGTCCGTTAAGTGGCCGTTATATTGAGCCTTGAATGGTTTCTGTAAGTCACTTAGGTCTTACTGTTAGTGTATTTTGCACTCGTCAGGTTAACTTCACTAGTTAATGGTAATTTCAGCTGGTATTTAGGAGCCCATTTAAAAGTTTGCTACCATGCATGATGTTGTCAATTAGATCTTCAAGGATGTTTGAAAGATTTTGCAAAAATATGGGAAGATTTTTACAGTAACATAGCAAGACTCACACAAGATCTTACACGATCTCATAAGGTCATAGAAGATTTTGAAAAGATTTTGTACTAACCAGGATGACTTTACTGATGGTAATGTCAGATGGTATATTAAGAATCCACTTTACAGGTTCGTAGCTAACGAGTACAAGTACAATAGGTCTGTTGGATTTTCCACGACTGATGATATTGACTCTAGCATTACCAGCTTTTGGAGGACGTCTGTTGATAACCTCGTACACAGCCAATACGTGGACTTCGTACTGAGATGAATTGCTATCAGGAGAACAACTGTAAATTTTACCGACAGTGCCTGTTGTATAAAGTGGTATTCCCAGGGCTGTGTCAGAATCGGTAACAATTTTACATCCATATGCATCAGCTGGGATAAAAAGAAGTCATAGTTACTATTGACGAGACAGCTGAGTTCAGGAGAGAGCGAAAATAGACGAAGACTGCTACTCAAAAATACGGGCTACGGATTTGTGTGCGTGTGTGTTGGGGGGGACGCCCCCAGAAATTTAAGTCGGATGTTCAGTCGGCAGAACCGCTAAATTAGTCGGCAAAGGAAAATATATCAATGATTAATTAATTTGAAAATGTTGCCGACAAACTTTTCAACCTGTTAAACTTAGGAAAATATCAATATTTTTTTAACAACATAAAAGATATTCCGCAGTCGGTAAAACGTGAACGGTCAGCAAGGCGTTCTTCCTTAAGGTGGCTCCCTACAGTTTTGATTATAAAGCACACAATTGTATTAAAAACCCCATTATTTTCTCATCTTGCAAAGTATAATCACGAAACTCGGCCACGTAACTGCTACAATAGCGAGAATTACGAAAAATAAAAAATGTCGTTAAAATTCCCCGTTGCCATGGTAACAAAGCGATTTTAAAAAGGGCCAATTTGCATATTCTTTTATAATTTTTTGAAAATTTCTTCGGTAAAACTTTTTAATTTTTTGCACACAGTAATGTTATCTATAATTCCTTCAAATGATAGCATTTAAAAAAAATCGTACGAGAATTTTTTTTAATACTCAAAAAGCTCTGTTTTTCGGAATAAAAAATTCGGCTCGTACGATTTTCTTAGAACTTGTATATTTTACGCACTTCAAGATTACAGGAAAGTGTGTGAAGTTTTAAAAAATTTTACGGGAAGGAAACACGAGAAAAATACATTTATTTTATCTATGTGACGTCCCAAAAATCAGGATTTCAATTTCCTCGCGAGACCAGCCGACAATCCCACGAAGGCCCGCGCGTGTATATCACGACGCAATTTTAAAAACCCCGCCAAGCGTGCAACGTCGACCACGTGTGTTGCGTGTAGCACTACTAATCTCGCGCGTGTTACTACTAATCGCGCGTGGACAAAATTCCCGCGACACAGACCTAAAACTGTAGGGAGCCACAAAGACCTAAAACTGTAGGGGAACAAATTTTCAATTACCACTGTTACATTTATATTGTGGATTTTGTAGCAGGGATCAACCGCATCCACACCTCTAATCAAAGATTCATATATTAAGTTACCATTGTTAGAAATCAGTCTGTACAAGTTCGCCCATGGATCGGTAGGAATGGTCTCACACCCCCCCCCCCCCGAATTCTTTCTGAGGACGACCCTGATAAGATCTACTATGAATAAAATTTGGGGGAGAATAGGCACATTTGGGGATTTTTGTGAGTGATGCGAGCAGGCCTAGAAGATCGGGCTATTATTAGTTGCAATTTACACGCTTAAAATGTCAAAAAATTAACGAGCTACAGGTATAAAAACATTTCTAAATGTAAACCCCCACTCTGCCAAACGCGTGGAACTTTAATAACATTGAAAGCTAAGTTACAGACAAGTTTTCGCTGCTCGAGTTTACGAACAAATATATATTGTAGTCGAAACAAATATCTCACAGGATCAAACTATAAATGCATGGGTAAAACTGGCAAGCCAGTAAGTAAGCATATTTGCTTGATTTTCATCAACAATCAACAATAAGGTACAGTGTTGGCTATTTAAACAACCTTAAAGCAATTTTTATGTTATTTCCTGACCCAAGAGTAGCACAATGGCCTGTGGTACTTGTAAACAATTCATATTTTCTACTATTTGAATTGTTTCAAATACTGACCTTCGTCGTTCGGGTTATGTGATATATATGTTGTGTTTAATCATTTTCATCAAAGTCAGAAATGCGACTTCAGTTGCCTGACTTTTGGAATTCGTCAATGGATCAATTAAATTTGAGCATTAACGCATTAACCATTGTCTCTCAGAATTGTCTCAGAGGCAATAGACGGTCTCAGAGACATTTTCAGAGATGCTGTCTCAGATTAGTTTGTCTCTGAGACAGCCGCGTACGCAACCTCACTTGCTTCATACCCAGCGAGTAAAGGGTCAATAGAGCAACTAGTTTGTTCACAGTCGGCCTAATTGCCCATAATTAAGGAAGAGCCGATGATTATCGGCAAATTAATCGAAGTTTCTCTAGAATCAAACACAAGCCAAGAAAACAATTAACTTACGCAAACATGTATTGTAATCATAGTCTTTGCCAGAACAGTAGCAATAACCGCCTTTACACACGGCCTTCATGTCACCAAATTGGCCAGAACAGTAGTTACCTATACCCGAGCATCTGCTTTGTTGACAAGAGACTTGAGCTGTGAAATAATTCAGGGCAATGAAAATCATGACACGCGTAAAGAAGTTTCCGTCCATGATTCTCGCCGTCTTTCTGGAAAAAAGGAAAATAAACAATGGGGTACTTGCGGTTGCCATCTTAATTCCCCGAGCCAACGGCGCAAAGCGCCGTTCCGAGCGTAAACCCGGGGCGAGGGTATTAATTCCGCTCGGCTATTTACACCCGGGGAAACGAAAGCATTAGCGAAGTCTAAAGTTCATCAATGATCGCGGGTGTGGGTCACCAACGGTGTTTCGATGAGTGTATCTAAAAGTCGAGGGTCGAGAGTCGAGAGTATAGGTCGAGAGTCGAGAATAAAAGTCGAGAGTCGAGAGTAAAAGTCGAGAGTCGAGAGTAAAAAGTCGAGAGTCGAGAGTAAAAAGTCGAGAGTCGAGAGTAAAAAGTCGAGAGTCGAGAGTAAAAGTCGAGAGTCGAGAGTAAAAAGTCGAGAGTCGATCGAGAGTAAAAAGTCGAGAGTCGATCGAGAGTAAAAAGTCGAGAGTCGGCAAATGTCATCAGAAACAACAAAGTCAAAATATTTTTTAACCACGTTTAACACAATCTATATATATATATATAGCTTTACATAGCCATTCCGTAACAAGTACCAACGGCTGAAATACAAACTTTCCATTGCTAGTATTTGCTACAACAGTCAATAATTAGTGGCGGAAATTCACTTTTTCCGGTGTGGGGGGGGGGGCAAAGCCTCCTAAATTTCCGACAAAACTTTGAAATTTCCGACGTACC